TTCTCCCATTGCAAGAAAGATCAATCTAGTAGGCCAAACCAAACTGATAATTCAAAGAGACTTGCAAAGATAATCAATCATACATAAAAGAATTAAGAGAAGATTCAAATATTGTTCATAGATAAACTTGATCATAAACCCACAATTCATCGGTCTCAACAAACACACCACAAAAGAAGATTACATCGAATAGATCTCCACAAGAGAGGGGAGAACTTTGTATTGAGATCCAAAAAAAGAGAAGAAGCCATCTAGCTAATAACTATGGACCCGTAGGTCTGAACTAAACTATTCACACTTCATCGGAAGGGCTATGGTGTTGATGTAGAAGCCCTCTGTGATCGATGCCCCCTCCGGCGGTGCTCCGAAAAAGGCCCCAAGATGGGATCTCGTGGATACAGAAAGTTATGGCGGTGGAATTAGGGTTTTGGCTTCGTATCTGGTAGTTTGGGGATACGTAGGTATATATAGGAGGAAGGAGTACGTCGGTGGAGCAACAGGGGGCCCACGAGGGTGGAGGGCGCACTTGGGGGGTAGGCGCGCCCCCTACCTCGTGCCTTGCTCGTTGGCTTGACGTAGGGTCCAAGTCCTCTGGATCATGTTCGTTCCGAAAATCACGTTCCCAAAGGTTTCATTCCGTTTGGACTCCGTTTGATATTCTTTTTCTGCGAAACCCTAAAATAGGCAAAAACAACAATTTTGGGCTGGGCCTCCGGTTAATAGGTTAGTCCCAAAAATAATATAAAAGTGTATAATAAAGCCCAATAATATCCAAAACAAAATATAATATAGCATGGAACAATTAAAAATTATAGATATGTTGGAGACGTATCAAGCATCCCCAAGCTTAATTCCTGCTCGTCCTCGAGTAGGTAAATGATAAAAACAGAATTTTTGATGTGGAATGCTACTTGGCATAATTTCAATGTAATTCTTCTTACTTGTGGTATGAATTTTCAGATCCGAAAGATTCAAGACAAAAGTTTAATATTAACATAGAAATAATAATACTTCAAGCATACTAACTAAGCAATTATGTCTCTTCAAAATAACATGGCCAAAGAAAGTTATCCCTACAAAATCATATAGTCTGGCTATGCTCTATCTTCACCACACAAAGTATTTAAATCATGCACAACCCCGATGACAAGCCAAGCAATTGTTTCATACTTTTGGTGTTCTTAAACTTTTTCAATATTCACGCAATACATGAGCGTGGGCCATGGACATAGCACTTTAGTTAGAATAGAATGGTGGTTGTGGAGGAGACAAAAAGGGGAAGATAGTCTCACATCAACTAGGCGTATCAACAGGCTATGAAGATGCCCATCAATAGATATCAATGTGAGTGAGTAGGGGCGCACCTGGGGGGTAGGCGCGCCCCTACCTCGTGCCTTCCTCGTTTATTGCTTGACTTAGGGTCCAAGTCCTCTGGATCATGTTCGTTCCGAAAATCACGTTCCCGAAGGTTTCATTCCGTTTGGACTCCGTTTGATATTCTTTTTCTACGAAACCCTAAAATAGGCAAAAAACAGCAATTCTGGGTTGGGCCTCCAGTTAATAGGTTAGTCCCAAAAATAATATAAAAGTGTATAATAAAGCCCAATAATGTCCAAAACAGAATATAATATAGCATGGAACAATAAAAAATTATAGATATGTTGGAGACGTATCAGTGTTTCACGCGTGTAAATTTCTGGATCGGATGGGATTCAGTCGTGAGCGTCTCGATTTCAGCCCGAGTGGCTTCAGGAGGGTGTGACGCGAAGTTTCGTTGTCTGTTGACAGTGTGGATACATAGGTATTTCGATTTCCATGGTGAAGACAATGACAGAGAACGTCATGGTGGCTGAGATCTAAGGCCTTATAATGGTCGATAGAGTCTTCGTGGCAATGAGGACTTTGCTTGGTGTTTCGTGACTCGTGGCAGCGGCATCATCAAGTGAGGGCGTGATGACCCACAAGTATAGGGGATCTATCATAGTTCTTTCGATAAGTAAGAGTGTCGAACCCAACGAGGAGCAGAAGGAAATGATAAGCAGTTTCCAGCAAGGTATTCTCTGCAAGTACTGAAATAAGTGGTAACAGGTAGTTTGTGATAGGATAATTTGTAGCGAGCAAAAAGTAACAAAAGTAAATAAAGTGCATCAAGGTGGCCCAATCCTTTTTGTAGCAAGGGACAAGCCTGGACAAACTCTTATATAGAGAAAAACGCTCCCGAGGACACATGGGAATATCGTCAAGCTAGTTTTCATCATGTTCATATGATTCACGTTCGGTATTTTGATAATTTGGTATGTGGGTGGACCGGTGCTTGGGTACTGTCCTTACTTGGACAAGCATCCCACTTATGATTAATCTCTATTGCAAGCATCCGCAACTACAACAAAAGTATTAAGGTAAATCTAACCATAGCATGAAACATATGGATCCAAATCAGCCCCTTACGAAGCAACGCATAAACTAGGGTTTAAGCTTTTGTCACTCTAGCAACCCATTATCTACTTATTACTTTCCAATGCCTTCCTCTAGGCCCAAATAATGGTGAAGTGTTATGTAGTCGAAGTTCACATAACACCACTAGAGGAGAGACAACATACATCTCATCAAAATATCGAACGAATACCAAATTCACATGACTACTAATAGCAAGACTTCCCCCATGTCCTCAGGAACAAACGTAACTACTCACAAAGCATATTCATGTTCATAATCAGAGGGGTATTAATATGCATATAGGATCTGAACATATGATCTTCCACCAAATAAACCGACTAGCATCAACTACAAGGAGTAATTAACACTACTAGCAACCCACAGGTACCAATCCCAGACTTGGAGACAAGAATTGGATACAAGAGATGAACTAGGGTTTTGAGAGGAGATGGTGCTGGTGAAGATGTTGATGGAGATTGCCCTCTCCCGATGAGAGGAGCGTTGGTGATAACGATGGCGATGATTTCCCCCTCCCGGAAGGAAATTTCCCCGGCAGAACAGTTCCGCCAGAGCCCTAGATTGGTTCCGCAAATGTTCCGCCTCGTGGCGGCGGAGTTTCGTCCGAGAAGATGGCTTATGATTTTTTCCTCATCGAAAGACTTCATATAGCAGAACATGGCCATCGGAGGGCTGGGCGCGCCCCCACCCTCGTGGGTAGGGTGTGGCCCCCCTGGTGAACTTCTTGCGCTCAGTATTTTTTATATATTCTGAAATTGACTTCCGTGAAGTTTCAGGACCTTTGGAGCTATGCAGAATAGGTCTCTAATATTTGCTCCTTTTCCAGCCCACAATCCCAGCTGCCGGCATTCTCCCTCTTTACGTAAACCTTGTAAATAAGAGAGAATAGGCATAAGTATTGTGACATAATGTGTAATAACAACCCATAATACAATAAATATCGATATAAAAGCATGATGCAGAATGGACGTATCAGGGCGCGAGCACAAGCGGAGTACAGAGACTTAGCTTTCAGGGTAAAATCCCAAGGTCTGGAGTAGGGCGTTTTGGTGTCCAGGCTTATCTACACCCGGTTAGAAAAAGTTCGTAAAAATTCACTAAAAATCAAACAATTCCAAAAAAATATGCGGTAGACAATTTGATGCGTGAGGCCTGCTCCAGATTTCAAGTCATTTCGACATCTGAGCAGCTCTCAGGAAAAAAAATTGGAATTCATCTTTCTAGTATTTGTTTTGATTTTTTTTCGTCAGCGTGGGTGCAGATGAGCTCAGATGCAGAGATGGATTTTCCCAAGGTCTGGCTTTAATTGGTTGTCGCTTGCAGTGACCTTGTTGAAGGCATTGTTCTGAGAGTGCGGATCTTCTCCAGGGTGAAATCCTAATATCTAGGATCGGGCGATGACGGTGCTTCTGCACTATTTTCTTCTTGGAGGCATTGCTTTTGCAGAATTGGAACATCAGGGTTCGGGTGTTTGTCTAGGTGGTGATTTGTGCTGCAGCAACAAGGAATTCATCAATGTAGCGCGATCTTTCTTTTCTTTTTCTTCTTCTTCTTCTTATTGTCTTTTGGTTGTGTGAGCACCAGGACTTGAACCCTAGTGGGCTGAGGATACCATTGTCCCTCTAACCATCCAACCATAGGTTGGTTCGCACGACATTGCATTAATATTGTTGCAGAGGCTGGATATAATTGGTATCTCTGTGATATTAATATATTCTTTTTATCAAAAAATTGCCAATAGACACTCCGGAATAAGACAATTGCTCCAATAGACACCACTGAATAATAATACTTCTCAACGCACGTGCTTTATTTTTCAAGCAAGAAAAATGCTAGTCATGATTACAAAAGGGAATCAGACTATACATTAGAAGGTTATATAGGATACCCATAATAGTATAACTACTGATAGAAGTCATAGGTAGTTACACAAACATAATCAAATTAAATGAACTAAGTCATAGGTAGTTACACAAACATAATCAAATTAAATGCAAAAGGGCCCGTGCGTTTCGACGGGAGGAAAAAAAATATAATAATCTTGAATGGGTATGACCATATTTTGTTCACATCTCATCGCGTGATTTTGAAAAATTGTTCACAAATGTAAGAAAATGTTTCCTTTTTAATTTTATACACAAATTGGAGCAATGTTCACATTTTCGAAAAAAATATGGTGGTGGTTAAAAAACTTGGTAATTCGAAGAATTATTGTCTTTCAGTTGTGTGCAGCCGTAATGTCTTTACGACATTGCATTGTTGCATAGGCCGGGTGTAATTTGTATCTTCGCGATATTAATATATTCCGTTTGTCGAAAAATTGCCAGTAGACACCACGGAATAATACTTCTCAACGCATGTGCTTTATTTTCCAAGCAAGAAAATGCTAGTCATGATTACAAAAGGGAATCTGACTATACATTAGAAGGATATATAGGATACCAATAATAGTATAACTACCGATAGAAGCCATAGGTAGTTACACAAACATAATCAAATTAAATGAACAAGCTACTATTTACTGAAAGGCCGGCCTACAAGCATTACTACCGCCTTATAAGTGGGAAGCAACATATTTGTTTGTCCTTCGAGGCTCCTCTGCTCATTCCGTGTGGGTCACTGGCATCATCATTCAGTCTATGATCGCTGTTCGGCGGATTTTGGTGGGTCTCTCGTGCCCCCTGCATTAAGACCCTTGTCAGAAACACAGATCACAACTTTGATAACAGGACAGGCTAGAAAATTTTACATCATACTGTTGACTAGTAATGGAAGACAATGTTTCTTTGGCAATTTCATGTTAGCATCAATTACTAACGTTGTTGCTGCATCACCATTGCGGCTCCATTCCGTCAACAGTCTTGCTAGTTTTGTTGGGACAAACGGTGATTCTGGTTTGTTTGCACAAATACCGTTGTTTTTCTCATCTAGCCATTGTTTATAAAGGCTCTCACCCATGGCGCTGAACCAACCAGTACTTAGGTAGTTTCAACTTCCACTAGACATAAATCATTATTTACTGATCTCATATTCTGGATCTCGTGTGTTTACGGCCCAGAGACTTGAACTCTGTGAAGCTACTGACTGTCATAAATTTCAAAATGATCCAGAAATGATCCAGAAATGTTTCAGGCATACCAATGTACTGTCCATGGACCATGTTCACCCATAGTTACCAGCAAGAACCAGGGTAAAAGAACATGGCCATTAGCCATGAGTATGGATCAAAAGGGAGTTGTGTTAGTCAGCCAGTAGTAACATGGACCTGAAATCATGTCTGACGTCCACAAGAACGCCACTCCCTTTGGACGCATTTTTAGCCACCCATGACCCCTGCCAAAGTTCCTCAACTTGGCTTCCTAGCAACTATTCTCCAAACTTAACTACTATTACCTCCGTACCAAAATATAAGACCTTATTTGTATGCTAATAGTACTAACCAGTTAGTTCCCACAGACTACCATTACAAAAGACAAAGAAATATTTATTTTAAAGCAACAACATTTATAAAATAGCACTCCTTCCGTCCCATAATATAAGATCGTTTTTGACACTAGTGTAGTGTCAAAAACGCTCTTATGGGACGCACTAGTGTAAAAACGCCCTTATATTATGGGACGGAGGGAGTAGCAGGTATCTAATAAAAAGACATGCCAAATACTAGTGTTTTTTTAGCTCTCTTTCCTTTGGACATGTGGACAGATTCTTATCCACCAACCACAAAGTTAATCAACCTGGTACGTACTTTTTGAAAAATCAAATCAAATAAATTAACATTTGTAATTTTTTTTCTTTGGATTTGGAGAAATTATTAACCAGACTTGACGAAGTTCCTCAACCTGAATTCCTAGCAACTATGTTCCGAACTGAGCTGCTAACCAGTTGCTTGCCACACTACTTAAAAACAACAGTATTTTAAAAAGGTTTATTTTAAGTAAGAAATCAAACAACATTTTATAAAGGGATCCCTTTTATAAAATAACATCACATAACCAATGGTATCTAGAATGAGACTAACAAGACATGAGTCAAATAAATGCTTGTTGAATCAGACACAATTTATACCTGCCTTGAATCCTTTGATTCTTTACTTCTCCAGTAAAAATTTGGCAGTGACCTGGCCTTGAAACGGACGCTCTGATGTATTTCTTTCAATTCAGGTTCATCGTTGGCTTTTCCCTGCAGAACAGTAGCTTATAAGGTTTGATATAATGTACTATAATCCTTTTCTTTTTGGTCTTCTTTTGGAAACAAATACTGATTGGAGAGTGATAAAATAACTATTACTAGTTATGTGAGTAAAGTTCTTACAAGATAATAATTACCGGCCTTTAGAATTTATCATAGACATTATCTTATTGTGATGCTCCTTGAAAGAAATTTAATTTAAATGAGGATAACTCGAAACAACATGTGCCACCGTCTCATTCAGGCTTTATTGCTTACCATATTTTCTTTAGCTATATTGGTTTCCGGATGCGTCGGTGGCGAAGTTGAACCAAACAACATTTCTTTGACCCTCGTCACACTGACATATGGAGACCTGGATGATGCAAGATCAGATGATGGGTTTCATGTTTAATGGCATTTACCATACTTCAGAAAGAATAAGGGCAAACCATTAGAACATCAGAGCAAAAAGCCATATGTTTTAAATTTCCATTTCTGGAATATTCAATTCCATCTTAGAAAGGTTAAATGCTTTCCTATAATCTGAAATCAATCAATTGGTACACTGACTTTTTGGATTCTGAGTGATACCTTTGTTCAGGCTGTTGAGTTGCCGTGGAAGCTGCTTCTGGAATACCTTTGCAGAACCCCTGAAACAGAGCAAACCAACTTATTCATGAGACTCGGAACTGTTAAACTCCATATCTTTAAATTGACACCATGCATCAGCAAATTACAAACCTTGCTTGTCCGCCTCTGTTTGTTCACCTTAGGATGAACATCTTTCACCGGCCTGCTTGCAGACTCCAGCTGACTAATCCTCGAAGCAATTGTGGAACCAAGATTTCTTGATCTCGAGGCAGTATCGCCTATTTCACATCTCCTGAAGTTCATGGTACCCAATATCGACCCTTTCTGAGCAACTGAAGTCTCTTCTTGCTTGTTACTGTCAGTACTAGGAAATGGTGAGCTGTTCTCCTTCGCTGGACGCAGGGTCGACCGCCTTTTGGCTGACGAAGACGGCGCTTTCTTTCCTGATGGGGGAGAACTGAATTCCGCAGGCTTCTGAAATAGCGACGACATCGGGTGCCTCTTCTTCTCGACAGTATCTGCTATACCTTGATTGACAATCGAACTCTCCTGCAAATAATTCACATGGTTTGAAATACTCACTAGTCAGTACTAGCATTGGACTGCACATTATGAACAAAATTCTCGTTTGAGAGGTCACCTGTAACGGCTCCTTCTCAACGGCATCAACAGCAGCCACGACACATCCAGCATCCAACTGCAGCCCTTTTCTCGCTTCAGCAACCTGCACATCACGCAGCTCGTGTGACCGCTCAGCCGTGCTATCCAGGCGGCACGATGAGACAACGCCGTCTGCAACAGCCTTCAGCTCCTGATGCGCTTCCCCCGGCACGGCAGCATCGACAACGGCGCCGCAATCCTCCGGAGCACCCGAATCTACGCCGCCGGTCTCCTCTCCCGCGGGCTCATCCGTCATGCACGAGGAGTCCGCCGACCAGGCTTCGCCGCCGTCCGCATCAGCATCGCGCCCCTCGTCGACATCCTCGCCCTCGTCGACATCGGCGCTCTTCCGCTTCCTGGCGTAGTGCTCCTCGAAGAATGCCTTCTTCTGCGCGACGGATCCGGGGCGCGACTGCCCCGCGGCCTCCTCGAGGTACCGGTTGTGCTCGAAGGCCGACCACCGGCCCCACTCGAGCGGCTCGGAGAGGAACCGGCCGAAGGAGACCGACTCCCCCAGCGCCGACATCATCTCCGCCTTCCAGTCCTGAGACCAATCAAGCCAAAAAAAAAAAAAGCACGAAATCAGACACCCGGAAACGGCCCAGATGCGACGCGGCCGAAGGGAAGGAATGCGCTGCCGCTGCTGCTTACCCGGTCGTCGCCGCGGAGGGCGCCCCGCTCCGGCGACGCGGTCCGCTCCGGCGGCGGCGGGGAGGGGGGCTGGCCCGGCGCGGCGCCCATGGGGTCGGATCTGGGCGGCAGGGTCGGCGGGGCTGCGCTGGACTGGGGCTGACAGGAGTGTGATTGCCGCTGCCGCTTCTGGTGGTGGTGCGCGGATGTTGGCCGGCCCAGATTTGAATCGGGTCGGGCGGCGGCGGTGGTGGTGGGGCAGCCGAAGTGTACGTTGGGGGGAGCTGGAGCTGGAGCTGGGGCAGAGTGCCTGCGGAAATGACCGTTGCGCCGAGCTTGGCGTTAGTATCAAAGAGATGTGGATCAACGTGCCGTATCTGTGGTTCTTTAGTAGGAACGGATCACTGATTTCTTTTGGAAAACCATCATGGGGACTTCTCCAATTTGATAGAAGTCACATTATTGTTTGCTTTTCTTTTGCGGCAAACATTGTTCTTTGCTAATTGAGCTAATACTGTTACAATTAATCTTGTCTGTCAGATCATGTCATTGAGCGACTTAGATTACTCGAATGGTGAGCGCTCATGATATTTAACACGTAATTAATAACATGCATAGTATGCATTTAATTAATACAAAATTAATGTCCTAGCTAATATTAGCTCCGTCCTAAAAATATTGTTTTAAATTTGTCTAGATATGAATGCATTTATATAATGCTAAAAGGTGTCTAGATACATCAAGACAATCTTTTTGGGATGCAGGGGTACTATTATTGTGTAATTAATACCTTGCCTAATATCAGTGTGCATTGCATGAGTGGTTACTAGCAACAAATTCCTTGGATTTACAAGTGAAGATACGCGCAATTTGATTGGCTTCCCTAGGACAAAATGTTCGAGCTTGGTGCTAGCAAAATGACAACATAGAAAGGAACATTCTTCATAAACTATAAATCATCGGCGGCGGAGCTAGATGACAATCACTAAGGAGCAAAGGGCAAAACATGAATCACTGAGGGACTAAAGGACTGTTTTCGTCTTAATCTAATTACTTCTAATAAAAGACAAGTCTTCCCAAAGCTGGAGGACGGCGACCCCTGTTGACATGGTTGTAGCTCTGCGGTATTCATTTTGTCAACAACATTGATGCAATCTGAGTTAATCAATTTTTTTGTTGTGCCCCACCTGCTCTACATGGATAAGGCTGCTCCACAAGGCAATTGCCTCAACCATAGCTCTGGAATCGACATGAGATGCCACAATTGCTACTAGATATAAAGTTACCATGATCACCGCAAACACATATTTCGTCGAGGATGCCGGAAGTTGTGTCAGTGTTATGTTTCGCAAAGTGCACTGACGACTTTCTCACGGATGCCTATGTGAATATCCATGACTTTATTCTTTGCTCTGGTGTAATTAAGACTGAGTTCATGGACTGCCTGTGCCGACTTCGCTAGAGCTTGAACCACTTCACCTCGGTCTTCATGTTGTTACTCCCACCACCTGTACTAGGAAGTCGCTTTGAGCAGCTCCTCCCATTCACTCTACGGAGGAATCGAGGCCGAGGCCAGCCTCATATGCAAGAGCAATTGAAGTAGAGGACAATTTTCTCGATGGACCAGAATAGCTTCAGAAATTGTCGCTCCCAAGCCTAGGTGCCCCCAGATTTCTCTAATTGGGTCACAAGTGCAGAGTGTGATCGATGCTTTCACATTGAACAGATGAAATCAGACATTGGCCACTTGTAATAATGCGCCTATTCGCTAAGACTCCCTTCCATGGGAGAGCTCCCTTCATCACTCTCCAAAGCATTTTTCTTATATTAGAAGCACATGAAGCGATCAAATTTTCTTTGACAAAATTTCTCTAGAAGAGCAAACAAAATCAGAAGTTCTTTCACGTTTACCCATGCTGACAATTTCATTCGTAATGCTAGGTTGATTTAACAAAGGAGGGGCCGGATTTTGTATGGCCACAAAATATAAAATCCTCTATCATTCCTACTGCCAATGCTATGTTGATGATATGTAGGGCATCAACTGGCCATAAGATGTCAGACACAAGTTGTTTATCACAAATGTTGGTCTCTTCATTGATCAACTCACTCACCTTGGTTATTACAATTAGTCATCAACATGTGTGTCAACACGGGCTAGAAATTAAAAAGAAACATAGTATTTGTACTACATATGATGTTATAGGAATGGATAATAGAAAATAATGATCATCATAATTGAGTGGTTTTTTCATAGCTACGATCGAGGTGTCGCGGAAATGATTCCGACAATAGAGAGTGGGGTAAGGATGAAGATGGATCTAGCTAGGCACAAGTGTGACACAAGAAGATTTACGAGTTTGGGCCCTTCTCGGAAGAGGTAACTGATACGTCTCCGTCGTATCTACAATTTTTGATTGTTCCATGCCAATATTCTACAACTTTCATATACTTTTGACAACTTTTTATACTAATTTTGGGACTAACATATTGATCCAGTGCCCAATGCCAGTTCCTGTTTGTTGCATGTTTTTTGTTTCGCAGAAAATCCATATCAAACGGAGTCCAAATGGAATAAAAATGGACGGAGAATATTTTTGGAATATTTGTGAAATATGGGAAAAGAATCAATGCAAGAAGGTGCCCGAGGGGGCCATGAGGCAGGGGGCGCGCTTGCCCCCTGGGCGCGTCCCTGACCCTCGTGGGCCCCTGTAAGGCGGTTGCTGCTCTTCTTTGGCCGCAAGAAAGCTAATTTTCGGAGAAAAATTTGGGCAAAGGTTTCAATCCAACCGGAGTTACGGATCTCCGGATATATAAAAAACGGTGAAAGGGCAGAATCCCAGAACGCAGAAACAGAGAGAGACAGATCCAATCTCAGAGGGGCTCTCGCCCCTCCCACGCCATGGAGACCATGGACTAGAGGGGAAACCTTTCTCCCATCTAGGGAGAAGGTCAAGGAAGAAGAAGAAGAAGGGGGGGCTCGCTCCCCCTCGCTTTCGGTGGCGCCGGAACACCGTCGGGGCCATCATCATCACCGCGATCTTCACCAACACCTACGCCATCTTCACCAACATCTCCATCACCTTCCCCCGCTATCTACAGCGGTCCACTCTCCCGCAACCCATTGTACCCTCTACTTGAACATGGTGCTTTATGATTCATATTATTATCCAATGATGTGTTGCCATCCTATGATGCCTGAGTAGATTTTCGTTGTCCTATCGGTGATTGATGAATTGCTATGATTGGTTTAATTTGCTTGTGGTTATGTTGTTGTCCCTTGGTGCCCATCATATGAGCGCGCGCGTGGATCACACCATAGGGTTAGTTGTATGTTGATAGGACTATGTATTGGAGGGCAAGAGTGACAGAAGCTTCAACCTAGCATAGAAATTGATGCATACGGGATTAAAGGGGGACCAATATATCTTAATGCTGTGGTTGGGTTTTACCTTAATGAACGTTAGTAGTTGCGGATGCTTGCTAATAGTTCCAATCATAAGTGCATAGAATTCCAAGTCAGGGATGACATGCTAGCAGTGGCCTCTCCCACATAAAATTTGCTATCGGTCTAGTAAAGTAGTCAATTGCTTAGGGACAATTTTGCAACTCCTACCATCACTTTCCCACACTCGCTATACTAACTTTATTGCTTCTTTATCTAAACAACCCCTAGCTTTTATTTATGCGCTCTTTATTATCTTGCAAACCTATCCAAAACACCCACAAAGTACTTCTAGTTTTATACTTGTTCTAGGTAAAGCGAACGTTAAGCGTGCATAGAGTTGTATCGGTGGTCGATAGCACTACAAAAAAAGACACATCCGTGACATTTTGGGCCGAATGAATTTTTTTTGTCATACATATGACACTTCTATGATGATAAGTGTGACAAAACCCAGTATCATCATAGATGTGGTGGGCTCCTACTTCTATGACAAAAAATCATGACAAAAAATGGGCTTTTCGTCCTAGGCGGGCCGGAGACGCAGCTGCATGACATTCTTTGGGCCGTCCATGACGGAAAAAAACAAGGTAGAAGCGAGGGGGAGGAAAATTTCGGGGAGTTCCCGGTTACGGTGGGAGGTCGGGGGCCGAGCGATGCGCGTTTCTCTCGTACACGTACGCGCGTGTGTGCGAGGCGTTGGCTCTAACTGAACCCGAGCGATTGCACTGTAGGCTACGCTACTGAACCCGAGCGATTGATCGATGGCTGTTAACTGAACCTGATCGAGCGATTCCTTCACTACTGCTGCTAACTGAAGCCGATCGATGGGATGAACAGTGAGCGTTGGGGGGGGGGGTTGGATGAATAGTGAGCGGTGGCGTTGCCTCTGGATGAACAGGACCCCGTGGTGTGGTGGAGGGCTGGATAAATAGTAGACGGTGGAGGGGTGCCCGTGGAGGGTGGATGAACAGGACCCCGTGGTGTGGAGGGCTG